ATTAACCACTTAGGGTGCTACTGATGTCGCCAGGAGTGTTCGATAATGACTTCCCGGAGCTATATCTAGTACGACAAGATGTGCTACCGTGCCTTTGTTCCTACTTCTGCCGCCGCTCCTCCGCCGACCGTTTTTCGCGTCGCCCTGCGACGTTGGCAATCAAATGACGTCGCGTCTGCGCGTAGACGTGCACCAGCGAAAGCAACAACGCAGGGACCACATGCGCTGCGGCAAGAGGACGGGCACACAGACCTGACGCCGCCTGCTCCACGTCCACCTCTCGACGGGCCAGCTGCTCGACCGCTCCACGGCACTCCACCTTCTGCATGGCGGGCGCTGGGCCCCAAGCGTGCCGAAGCCACGTGCATGAGCAGCAGTTCGGGCAAAGCTTCCTGATCGGGCGGCGAAGTCTATGCATGTCCACTGCCCCCTGGCCGAGCCCTTCCTGGGCTCAGGAGCTGTGCATACGCCCACCTGGCTTGGCCAGGAGGGCGTGGCGTACACGCCGCTGCTGGGTTCGGGACGGGCCTGGCCAGGGAGCAGTGGATATGCACAGAGCCGTCGCCCGACAGGCCCCTGGCGACATGACTCTTTCACAGCGCGGACCCCTGCAGGTCTCGACCCACTGCCCGGGACTGGCTTCTCGTCCTGACCAGTTTTGCTGACAGCCCCAGGGCCCAGCGAGGGCCCTCAGAGGCCGAACGTGGCAACGCCGAGAATCTCTGAGGCGCGACTCCTTCCTGCTCCGAGGGGCTCTGGGGCGGCAGGGCGGAAGTCCTCGCCACGACTCCTGCCCATCGGGGGGGCCCCGCGCGTGCCCGTGACCCGGCTCCGGCGGCCCTCTGGGGGTCGCGCTCCCCGGTCGTCTCCGGGCGCCGCCGCCCGGGGTAGGGGGCGGGCGCATCGTTGCCCCCGGTCTGCGCGATCTCGGGTGAAGGGCTCGTGAGGGCCCGGGTGGATTCTCCGAGGAGGGCCGGCGGAGGCAACTGCGGCCCTCCCTGGCGCTTTTGCGTACTTCGTGAGCCCCCTGGGGGCTCCTCGTCGCCACGGCTGGATCCGCCCCGGAAAGCGGGTCAGGATGTATCCTAAGAGGCTTCGGGGAACGATTTTGAGCGGGTGTGTGGGGGCCATGAAGAGCAGACCACGGGAGATGAGCAACGCTGCTCCTCTTCTTCCCCCTCCTCCTTCTCCTCGTTTAGCTTTCCGCCGCCCCCTGGACGTGTCCTGACCGCCAGCTGGAAGTCCAGGGGCAGGCCGGAAACGATGCAGGGGTTCCTCGAAGGAGCTCGAAGGAGGATGCGGAGCTGCCAGGGGGAGGAGGAGGAGGAGGAGGAGGAGGAGGAGGAGGAGGAGGAGGAGGAGGAGGAGGAGGAGGAGGAGGAGGAGGGGAGGAGGAGAGGAGGAGGAGGAGGAGAGGAGGAGATGATGATGATGATGATGATGATGATGATGATGATGATGATGATGATGATGATGATGATGATGATGATGATGATGATGATGATGATGATGATGATGATGATGATGCTGATGCTGATGCTGATGCTGATGATGATGATGACGATGATGCTAATGATGATGATGATGCTGATGATGATGCTGATGATGCTGATGATCATGATGATGCTGTTGCTGCTGCTGCTGATGATGATGATGCTGATGATGATGCTGATGCTGAGATTGGTGATGCTGAGATTGGTGATGATGAGGATGAGGATGAGGTTGAGGACGAGGACGAGTATGAGGTTGAGGTTGAGGATGAGGATGCGGAAAAGGAGGAGGAAGAGGAGGAGGAGGAGGAGGAGGAGGAGGAAAGGAAGCCGTTGCCCGACTCGGGGGCGTGGACCCCCCCCCGCCCCACAGGGGCGGGGGGGTCCGCAGCGGGCGACTGCCAGGCGAGGCGCCCAGCCGCGCCATGCCCGCGCAAGGAAGTGGCCGCGGCGCGCGCGACAGAGCTTGCGCCAAGAACTACCACATGGGCTACGAGAGACACCGCACGAATTGCGAGACTACGGGCCCAGACGGGCCTAGGCTTTCGAACGCGGCTCACCAGAGCGCCAAGGTGTACCGGAGATTCGCCTACGCCGCGCGCAAAAAGGCCACGGCATGTCCAAGGATTTGGCCACGATCCTGACTGACAACCCTGCTCATCACAGTCGGCATCAAGAGCAATGCGGACAGACCAACGTCGTCGACGCGTGCACCAACACCAGCACCCAGACGGCACCTTCAAGCTTTACCCGGAGGCTGCTGTGTTCGCCCTAGCTCGCCCGCCTGGCTGCTGGCACTCAGAACGCGGCAATGGAGCCTACCCCACCGACACCCCCCCAACGCCAATGACGACTACGACGACGACGGGGCTCTCCCCCTGCCTCCTATCCAGGAGGAGGAAGTGAAGGAGGAGGAGGAGGAGGAGGACGAGGAGAAGGAGGACGAGGAGGAGGAGGAGGAGGAGGAGGAGGACGACGAGGAGAAAGAGGAGAAAGAGGAGAAAGAGGAG